ATTGGAATGACAGATGAGTAAATCCGGGCCTTTGTAAAATTATTCTTACTTTTTTGTAAACAAACAAACAAATGTAGATCCAGGGCTCGTCACATAGCAGGCGTTACGACATCACTGGGTTTGACTCGAGCTGGAGACCTTTGCTCCATGTTATCCTTCTCCTTCTCCTTCCTATCGCTCTCAATTTTCTCTTATCAAATAGAGCTAAAGGACCAAAACAGTTTATTTCTGGAAGCAGAATTGTTTCCTTTTTTGTCGGAAACTCCATTCTCAGTGTTTGTGCACTTAAGGCTTCTGCTTATATAAGTTGCAGACTGACCTCCAAACTAGTCGTGATGCCACAAAATCCTGCTGGTAAGATTTATGATGTGCCCATAAATGACTCTGCACAGCGAAGCTCAACTAACAATCCAAGAGAAGCAGCAGCAACCTAAACATATATCTGAGAACTTTAGGCTGTTTAATGCTCAAATGCCCTGTTTAACAGTTGGCAAGACAACATTAACAGATGTAAACAGACATACAGGGAGGGAAATAACTTCAAAACCACAATCAGATTTCACTGAGATCAAAATTAATTTCAAAACGTTTGTGACTGAAGCTCCTCATCTGTGTTTAGAAGGACATAGAGAAGTTTATTTATAACAAGACGAGATATTCTACAGCCTAGAAACATAAGTAATAAATTACATCATATGGTAAATCTTATACATGTGGTTAGTACATTTCACGTACATAGGGCAAGATTCTCTGAGTCCTTCTCCAAAATTTTATATTGAATAAAGTTTTCATACCCCAACCCTAGTGAAAAATGAATGCACTGTTATTTTTAAAGAATAATTTGCAGCCCTAAATGTGCTATATTTACTCTTGTAGTAGGAAAGTTTAACTGTCTTATCTCATTGATAGATAATCAGAAGTAGAACTCAGGGCTTGTACTTAAGTAAAACAATAGAAATACTCTATAATGCTCCAATATTTTATGTTATTAAGACCGCTCTGCAAAGTAACTAGTAGCTAAAACTAAAAAAAAATTATTCAGTGCAGTAAAAAGTACAATATTTGACTCTAAAACGTAGTGGAGTAGAAGTATAAAGTAGCACCAAACTGAAATAAAGTACAAGGAACTCAGAGCAGTACTGTTTCTTTACATTTTAAGAATCTTGACTTACACAAAAATATCAAACTTGTGTCCATCAGCTGAACGTCTTTATGTTCATAATGTTCTATGAAGAAGACAGAAACTTTTTTGGCACCTTCAAACATGTCAGTCTGGTCATCCTTTACAAAGTCCTTTTACGAGTGAAGCGAACAAATTACCAAACAAAATGAACCAAATGCTAGGAATTGATCCAGTATTCTGCTCTTACAGCGATTAAATATGAGCAAGAATGCAGTTTAGAAAATGTTAGCGTATGCTAAGTGGCAAGTAAAAGTCATTATTTAAGTGTGTGTTATATAGACATTATTGATTGTTTTTTTTTTAACAGATGCATTAACGTGTGTGCAGTAATTTAATTTCAGAATTTTAGGCGTAGTTGTTTTGTAAAAAGCATTAAAAAGGCTTTTAATTTTTAATCTGCAAAACTAGCAACTATAAACGTTAAATACATGTTAAAAATGGATATAACGCTTCCATTGAACTGTTAAGGAGCAGAAGTATAAAAGTATAAAGTACCATGACACTAAAGTACTCGGGTAAAGTTCAGTAACCTTAAAGTTTCATTGCTGATGTAACTTTACTTGGGCTGCAAGGTGGCTCAGTGGTTAGCATCGTTCCCTCGCAGTAAGAAGGTTGCTGTGATAGACTGGCGACCTGTCCAGGGTGTCCCCTGCCTTCACCCTGAGTCAGCTGGGATAGACTCCAGCCCCTCATGACCCCAGTGAGGATTAAGTGGTGTATAGATAATGGATGGATGGATGTAGCTTTACTTGGTTAGATTTCACTGTTGTTCAACTCATTTTATAATTGTCTGAACTAATCTATTCTTACACTGAACTAGTTCAGTTTATCAGCCCTACATGGCCCCCTATAAAGCCGTGTTAACCATTTATTATCCATCCGTTATCTATACCCGATAACCATTTATTAATGCTTTGCAAATCCACAGTAAGACCTGCATAAATAAAGCAACCGTTTAGACTTTCAGACTGTAAGTAGAGGCGAAGTGAAGCAGTTTGTTTCATGTATGTCAATCTGTTTCTTCTAACCTTCAAACCGTTAAACATGAATAATGAATCAACTTTTTAGACTAATGCTTTTTTTTTTTTTTCTTGTGGCATTGAATTTACAAAAGCGGAGTTCTTTGCATTATCCCGGCTCAGAGCATCTTCATATTTCTTTGGCTTTTCTCATGCTCTTCATCCACGGTCACAAATCAGGAGTTGAGGGAGGAAGAATAAACTCTATTCATCCCCATCTATCCACTCTCCCCACCCACAGCAGCCAGGGTCAGAGTCCAACCTCCTGCACAGAGCTATCAGAAAACAACAAAAAGCTTCTCACTGAGCCAGACAGAACACAAGTCCTGGACTTTTTCATAAGGTTAAGTGGTTGTGGTCAAGCTAAAGTGTTTGGTTCCCACAAAAAAAAAAAAAGTCACTCACCACCGAGGTACAGAGCCAGTCCAGCACCATGAGGAGGATTTACTTAATGAACTTCTGTACAATGAACTAACTAAGTTTTATGAGTTCTCAAGCATCAAGTCCTCAATAAAGTTTGCTGACTCAGCGTGCAAATCCTCATATTGGCAGTAAAGTTTTGTATTTAGTTGTGCAAAACTTGAACCAGGTTTCATCAGATTAAATAATAAAAATAAATACAGTGTGGATAAAAACAAACGAGGCTTAAAACAGTGAGGAGAAGAAGTTTCCTGGAAAACATAAAGCATTAATATCAGCAGAGGGCTTCGTGGGTTGAAAGGTGAGACGGCCTGCAAGTGGGTGAGAGATACTGTGTGCAAGTGAGAGAGAGTCAAGGGCAGACTGCAAAAATGTGTTTAGTTCACTATATAAAAAGGCTCATTTTGGATCATTAATATTATTGCACAGCTTACTCAGACAGCCGAGTGTGAGAAAGGAAATATAAGGAAGTCATTTCTTTAAAAACAACAAACTCAGTGAACTAAACGCACCGTGTCTCAGTTTGTCTCCATGTGCTGGTTCACTGCTCCAAATGACTGGCTGCTCACATTTCTTTAGGTGATGCAGTCGGAGGATATTCAAGGACAAGAAACTACACGACTGAGTCCAAATACAGGCCTGAAGGAATCCGTCTTGATTATGTCTGAGACACGACGACAGCCTGCGAACAATCTGTGCATAAACACAAATGGGACAAGGTCACCTGCTTCTGCGTCCTGCAGGCTTCACGCTCTGCCAGCACCTTATTGTACTGCTGGAAAAGTTGGCAACGAATTTTATGATGTGCGTTGAACATAAAAGTGTTTGTACTTGTTATTCAAGCAGGACTACTCGGAAACACTGGACCCATTCGCTAGAGAGTTTAATTTCAGATTCCCTGGATTACGTCGTCTGGCTCTGCTCAACATTTATAAACTTTTAACAGCTTTTTCTGCACTTTGACCCCCAGATCAGAGAATTATGTACCGGAAAAAGAGCCACACTTTAGGCCTAAAACAAAGGGAGTCATGTTTTTACTGTTTTTAGCTCAAACGCTGTGGAACGACTTCAACAGTCAGAAAAGACTTTAAAACTTTACCTGCTCACACAGGCGCCTGCAATGTTTTATTTTCGTCTTTTATGCCCTCTTGTTGCTTTTTCATGCTTGTATTGTTTTGTGAAGCACCTTGTAACTCCAGCTTTTAGCAAATGTAATGTTTGCTGTGGTTTTACCTTTCCATCCTTTTTATGTTCTTTCCTATTTAAACTTTATGATCTCACCTGTTTTTATTTGCAGCTCAGTTTTATCGTCTTTTTTTTCATTCACTTATTTATGTGACAGCTGAAGTCGTCATGTTTCAGATGACATTGCCCGTCCAAACTTCTAAACCCAAAACAAAGGTCCAAATAAATCTCTTTTTCCCCTCCCTTCCTACCCCAGTAATCACCTCCTGCCCTCCCAGTCTGGGACCCTTAAACTGGAAACCACTGGACTCAACTCTAGATAAAGTAGCTAAAAGTAGAACCACAAACTACAAAAGTAAAATCTAGGAAACATTACTATAAATAGCTGATAATGGTCATGTATTAAGTTCTACTTGTCATATAGTGTTTTTACTGCAGTATGTTGCGTTCACTCTTAAAGTCTCAGTGCTTCATTGACCACTGCTTTTGAATGAATTAAATCAGTGCAGATAAATCCCACTTCAAGAGCAAAAACTGCTTGTTGTCACATCATTCTGCCATGAATATTTATCTGGATCTGTGAAGGTTTAAGCACCCTGATGGGTATAAATAAGGTGGTAGCTCTTAAACATCCATCCATCCATCATCTATACACCACTTAATCCTCACTAGGGTCATGGGGGGCTGGAGTCTATCTCAGCTGACTCAGGGTGAAGGCAGGAGACACCCTGGACAGGTCACCAGTCCATCACAGGGCTACACTTAAGAGACAGACAACCAAGCACACTCACATTCACACCTACGGACAATTTAGAATCACCAATTAACCTCAACATGTTTTTGGACTGTGTGGAAGGAAGCTGGAGAACCCAGAGAGAACCCACACTGCACGGGGAGAACATGGAGACTCCACGCAGAAAGATCCCGGGTGTCCTCACCGGGATGCGAAACAAAAAGTTTCTGGTGCCGTTTCGTATTTTTCCGTGGTTCTCCGTGGAGGTCATCTCCAGAGATACATTTACAACATCGGACATGTCCTTGTGCAACAGTTTGGACACTTTTCCTCTCGTCTGTACATATTTAGTCAATCAGCAACAAAGTTAGTAACCTGCAGAAGGAGACAATTTCACATTTACAGGACGACAACTCAGCTCCTGTATGGGGGGAAAAAAGGACACATCTGATTCCTTATCAACAAAGAACACTTTTATTTATTCCATTTCTGAAGTTTTTTTTTTTGTTTTTTTGGTCAAATAGTAGATGTGAGGCGGAGGACAGTGCACTCGGTAGGAGAGGTGACGGTGCACAGGGCAGCAGGCAGGGGGCAGCAGATGAGTGACAGAGGAGGAGGAGGGACGTGGTTACTGGCAGGAAGAAGGAAACGAACACTGGAATGATTTACAGAGCAAAAACGGGAGTTTGTGATTTGCTAATTCTTTAGGTAATCTTCAACTCATTACAACCGAGGCACATACCAATGAAGTGATTTTCTAACCTGTGGATAACATGTCGGGCTTTTGGTTTGGAATAGATAATGATTGAAGAGTTGTTTTTGAAATGTTTTAACTATTTAGAAGCATGTGTAGTGTCTGAATTGGGCCCCATTTCAGGAATGTCAGTGCTTATTAAACATTACTACATCAGAGGATATAAACCATTTGGGCCAATAACGATTAATATATGATATATATAGTGAATTTTTATCGCAAAATCCCAGCATCTCTGCCATGATTTCAGGAATCTCTTCGCCACCCAAACCTATGACCCATGATCTTCCGTCCTCTGTCTTCCCCCCTCCTCCACCCACCCCCATCACAGGCTGTCAGCAAAGCTAAATTTACCCATCGGCTCACACACGATCTCGCAGCAAACCTCCAACATATATATATAGATATATATCTGTCTCTCTGAATATATATATACACACACATTCTGTCTCATCTTTTACAAAAGGATCGAGCACAGTCCAGCGCTCTCTCTCGACCACAGTGATTCAGTTTGTGATGGCAAAAAAAAAAAAACAACAACACAATGTCGAGTCAAGGCAACGTGTACACGCACATACTGCTCATTGTTCACATTCTCACACCCAAGTACAAAGGCATGGGCAGAATTTCAAACACAAGGAGAAAAAAAAAAACCGAATGTAAATGTACACACACTCGTAAAGTGCACATATGGAAGGGAAGCTGTGAGGGACGAAGACAGGCACGGAATGAATTCAAAACGTTTGGTGTCGACTCTTGAGAGGGAAACAAAAAATAAAAAAACAAGCTCATACAGAGTAAAAGCCGACATGGAGGGAATATTATTATTTTTCTTGTACACGATGGAGCGGTTATCTTTAAAGCAGCTGGTGTGGTGTGTGAGTTTTGGGGGAATACTGCAGCAAGAAATGCAACCAAAATCTAAAAATAATAAAACAAACACATGAACACTCACTCCCTCACTCACACTACCTAATGTAACCCCAGAATTTATTAGAATCCCCTGATGTAAAAACAAAAAAAAACAAAACAAAAAAAACGACACCCTGACTGCTGCATCTTCCTGTTGCATTGCTTATTCTCCCTGCCTCAGTCACTTCTTACACTAAAAGGCAATCCAGGTGATTAAACTTGTATGATCATCAGGCATATCCCACCAAAGTTCAAAATCAAGTAACCAAACAGAATAAAGCACAAAATTGTTCCAACAACAGAAATAAAAACAACTAAGGCAGATGATTGAGATGAAAATTAAGAAGAAAAAAACAGAATGATAACGAAGAGCCGCCAACAAAAGCAGCGGTGGAAACAAGGGAGGCACAAAAATAAAGGTGTGATGATAGTGAGAAAAGAGAGGAGAAAAAACACAGTCAGCTAGAACGGCCTCCAACATGAACCCCTTCCCCCTCTCTCTAGAACAATCAGCTGGCAGGCCTCTTCACAAGGGGCACCTCTCTGTCTCTGCCAGTCCACTTTTGGCACAGACGACACATGTTGAACCGCGACCGAGCATGTTGTGATGGCCCAGGCCAAGGATTTGGTGCCATCTATTGTCAGCCACAGCAAAGTGCCATTTGTGCACAGCTAAAGTCTTGTTGGGACGTCCAAGAGGCTGGCGAGAAAAAAGTCAAAAGTGTGGGTTTCGGGGGAAATCGATTTCAGGTGTGCACAAGACTCAAGAAACGGGACGCGAATCCGATCGCGAGGTGGAAAACCGGGTAGAAAGCAAAACGTTTGTTCCTTCATCTTGTCCTGCTGTTTGTGATGAATAGCAACTGAACGGTAGCACACACGTAAGTCGGTACAAGGCAAAGTAGAGCAAGCATCAATCATGACAATTCTTCTTTTTTTTTTTAAAGAGAGAAATTACCCTCAAATAAATACAACAAAATTTTTAAAAAAACGAAAAATGTAAACAAAGTCTACTCTGATGGAAGTCATAGTGGTGTCATGCATGTCATCTGGGAGGCTGAGCTACTTCCGTGTTTCGGGTGTCCGGCTGCCCTGATCGGAGAGGTGCGCGGGTGTAGGCGTGGTGAAGAGGCGATGAGCTCCTCCTACTCCACCTTCACACCCATCTTCTCTGTGTTTAGTAAGTAGAGGCTGTCGTCTATCAGGAAACTGGAGATGAAACAAAGAATCATTCACCGTCAGGTACGTATGTCTGTATGTTTTCCCTTCTCAAAGGCACATCTAGCAATCGCATTTCTCCTCCATTTAACTGACTGTTTAAGGCCAAACATAAAAATAATTTCCTATTCAGATACTGCCTAACATGCTGCCCTTTAGCTCTGAGACACTGGCAGGACAAACCTGTAGAAAAGGAAGTGCACTGGGATGGTGCTGAGGTGCCAGACAGCGTGAGCGTCTAAGATCCAGAGCAGCGGAGGGAAGTCCAGCAGCTCCAGCAGAGCCAGACCGTGAAGCAGCAGCACCACCAGGCCACACTTCCACCAGTACGGTAGAGTCCGCCGGTTCTGCCAGCACCAACACAGCCACCACAGGAGGTTCACCATGCCTTTAGAGACAAAAACAGTGGTGATGATGAACTCAGAGACCAAGAAAATAACGATGTGAGCTGAGTAACAGTGAAAAAGAAATGACTGCAATTCAGGTGTTAATCCTCTGAACTCAAAAACCCACCAGCATGTTTGAAATGCGTTTTTTCAAAAAACCTGCCAAACTACACCATTCATCAGAGCCAGAATTTGTCAAAACGGACGCAATTCATCAGAGCTTCACATTTCTGAAGGTCCTTGAACTATTCATCTTTGATGTGGAGTTCAATCAGCAAAATAAACCAAATCTAAGCTGAAAATCCTGATATTTCATCTAAATCAATTTATTCTACATGCCTCATTTAAAAAATTGCCAAAATTTTTGCTCTAAGTGGATCCAATAAAAAACAAAAATTTCTGCATTCCTCTGAACAACCGTAAAGCCACGAGTGACTCCGCTGTGACCAACAAAGTGACGACAATTCAGGACTTTTCAGCTGAACTGGAGGCGGTGCTTACTTTGAGCAGAGAGGAGACAAGTTTGAGAACAAGTTCAAGTAGTACAATATCTATCGTATGCAGAGTCACCATTTTTTACCACTTATATTCAAAGAAATTCCACTTCTGCTTTTTTGTTTTTGCTTTTTCGTGCTATAACCGTGTCATACAGTGCAGATATATCGCAGTCAAACATGAGCCCACAGTGAGTAAAAGTGTAACAGGAGCAAAAAATACCCCAAAAATTCTTTAAGTTCAGAGGGTTAAAAAAACAAAACAAACAGTGGAGTACATGTAGTGCCCATGTGCTTTACATAAACGTTATTGAGAGGCTGCTACTGTGAGAACTAAAGCGACGCGTGCTTTCAAACTAAATATCCCACTTGTCCCTGATCAAAGTGTAGATTTATTATGTGTACTGACGCAGCTCACCACTTATTGATCTTCAGCATTGTCTACAGCAGCTCTGTGTGTGAAATTGGACAAACTATTCCACATAAAAATAGTAAATGAAAATCTGGAGCACAGTCGGAAAGCTTCCCCACAAATGCCCACCCTAACAAGAGCTTCAATGAGACTTCTGAGCTTTTACTGTACCGATGGTTGCGTTGGCAGCCATGTTGTAGCCGTAGTCAAAACTGACGAAGGTCAAGTATGACACGTGAGAGGTAAAGGCCAAGATGAGCAGGACTCCCACCATGCTGGACACCCCAGGTCGCCTCAGACCCAAAGTCCTGGCAAAGAGAAGAGGGACAAGGAGGGAACAGACAGTGTTAGAACTTGCACACTTGGAGAGTTCAAGCTGATTTTTAAAAGATTCCCAGACTCTTTGACAACATTACTGACTTCTGCTGAAGCAAATATTAGCTCGTTTTTTGTTGTTTGGTAAATATCAAAACTGTATCCTGAAAATAGCAGACAGAAATATAAACCAGTCAGTGATTAGTAGCTCTGAATGTGATTTGAGCTCTCCGACATCATTAGCAGGACACATGGAAGACCTGCTGTGGAGCTTACCTGACACAACACAGGTAGATTGAGTAAAGAATGACGGCTGTTGCACAGAAATAGTCCATTTTCTGAAAAGAGAGGAAGTTTTAAAAACCTTTTCCAACCTACACAAAACAACGTCAAGATCAACAGAAGGATTTGTGGATGTCTTTAAAGATATACTGCACCCTCCTTTTGTCAGTAATTGCATTAGGATGTTACTAATTTGCTAAGCTCATTAGCAGAGGAAACAGCAGAACCCACATCTCGTTAGGTGGTCGGGCAGTTCAAAGGTGTTTTAGTGGCTCTCCCATGAGAACACAATAAAGTTGCATGAGGTGGTGTTTTATTTTAATTAACACTGAATCACATGACTGCCTGTAATCTGAAAAGGCTGCTTTTAGTTGCGCTCAGCTCTTTGTTTCGGACTGCTGATGTGTATATTTAGCTACAACAGCTTTCGCCAGCTGGCCGTATAAACAGCTGCTACCAGCTATCAAGCTGAGACTTTCTCAGAACTAATTGGACCAAAATGGGCCTGAAGGTGAGAGATTAGAAGCTAAACATCATGTTAGTCAGAAGAACTTGACCAGCCAACGACTCTTTTTGCTGTTACTTTTATTCTGCCCTCAAATGGACAAGAATTGTTGTATTATAGGTATTTATGAGTCCTTACCTCAGTGAGATAGGTGTCCCGGGTGTGAAACACCGTGGACCAGAACCAGGCATTGAGAGACACCTAAACAAACACGGGCTCTTGTTAAACGTGCTAACCTTTGTCGTGAATCTTGTGTAAAGTCACAGCAGACACGGTAGACTTTCAGAGCATTCATTTGTTCTTGTCGTTTTCTCCACCTCACTGAGACGCGTGGACAAACTCACCAGAGAGAAGGCGTTGATGGTGTGGTACATGGGGCTCTGGCGTGGCACCGTGCTCCGATAGCGCAGCAGCATGAGAAGGCAGGCCAGGCCATTAAGCAGAGAGGCCAGCGCAGACGCCGGCTCCTCGAAACACAGGAAGCGCGCAAACGGCCACTGGGAGAAATAAAACACATCACCTGTAACTTCAGACGTAACTCAAAGTAGTTCAAGTGAAACACCATTGAAGTACATGGTAGATCTTTTTTCAACTTTGGTGTGATCTATTAGAAGAACCGACCTTGCCGTGGAACTGAGGGACTCTGTAGCCCTCAGCCTGGTAAAGGCCCACAGTGGTCCACATGCACTGATAGCGACAGTCATCCCGGCAGGTCCAACCTGGGAACAAAGAGAAAAGAGCTGAGGGTGGTGCAGACACACATCAGATGGTCACGTTGAGCTTGTCTTAGGATTTATCAACAATTAAATAAATCTGTAAACCTTTTTGATTTACTGTAAAGCAAAGGGGACTTATCAACAAGTCATTTTAAGCAAAAAATAATAATTTATGATAGAGATTTTTATCTGACTACAGCATTCACAGAATTATTCTAAAATATTTTTATCCACTTGAGAGGAAGAAAATGAGCAGAATCCCTGATCTCTGGTCCACTTGTAGCTTTATTGTACACTAGACAAAGACTACCAAGCTATTCTCAAGGGCAACGAAATATTGTCACAGAATGTATTAAATCTTATTCTTTATCTTGCCCAATCTGCATCATGGACTGTATCACAATGGTCTGACTCATGTTCAGGAGCTGCATGTTACACCAAAACATACAATCTCTGCTCAGCCTTTCTTCTAACCTGAACATTGTGCACAATGTTTCCTGAGCATTCTTACAAAACAATCCTATAGAAGTTGTCTAGAAGAGCTCACACATCAACCTTCCTCATATATGATGATTATCAACCTACTGATTATTTACCACCAATAGATTTTTCTCATGTGATTATGTATTCTCACAGATGGTTTTACACTTTCTGACAAAACATCTACTTATGTCCAGTGTACAAAGCAATAAGCGACTTGATGAATTTAAAAAAATAAAAATGAACAAAAAATGTTAGGTTATAATTGTGTGACTACTGGTTTAACAAAATCAGGGACTTGTTTTTCAGATGTACAATAACATTAATAGTCAGTAGGAGCTGTGAACCTGTGCTGTCTGTATTTATAGCTGCAGATAAAGAGGCCTTTATTCTGATCCTCTCTGCAAGTTGATTAGATGCCAACTTGTTGTGCATTTAAATCTCACCATCGACACACTATACAAATGTTAATAATGGGGCAAGGGTGGGATCACAATGGGGCTGTGTGACACCCCGCTCGGCCTGTTGAACCGGCTGTTGTACATGTTTCCAGAAACGTCAAAGATGAGAGAATATATGGGATTAAAAGTCACCCAGCAGCCATGACAGACGCAGAGGAATCAGCACAAAGCCGCCGCATGGACACTCAAACACACTGAGACTGTTTACAAAGTCATGAGGTTCGTTTAGAGAATGTTAAAACATGATATATGTAAGTTCAGTGGATGTGGGGGATGAGAGGTGTGTAGCTAGCGAGCTAAGTTAGCCTAAGTTACCTGGCCGACAGCAACTCACCTGTCAGCGCCATGTACTGCGGCTGGGCGGACTGGAAGCCGCGTAGCCGGGCTCCGGTGCAGTTAGTCCGGACGCACTGCTTCACACAGTCTCGGTAAACCGGCTCCTTGTCGCCTTGAGAGGACTGCACGGTGGTCGCCGACATGAGGAGCAGGACCACAGCGGCGAGAGCGGGGAGTCTGACAGATGTGCAGCGGGGCGACGCTGCGGCCATGGCGGCGGCTCTCGGCCCGTCAGGACTCACGAAGGCACGGCGGGACGACGGCGGCACTAAGCCCACAGTCCGCATCAGCACACGGCCATCCCGGCTTTGTGGCGACAAACCGGGCCTGAAGTGTTTACAGTCAGAGAGTCCGGTGTTCCGCCGCTGCTGGTCACCGTCCGCTGTCACACTGCGCCTCCTGCCGCCATCTCCACAATAAAACAACGTCTGCGTGTATTTGGAGCGACAAACCGTCGAGTTATAAAGCTGCACACAGATCACAGTTCAACATGACCTTCCCACATAGCGGAGAAAAATAATGTACTTTTCGTTTGCCTGCTTATTCGTTAGATACAGTCTCGGTATTTTGAAGTGCCTCGTTAGGAGCTTTAACTTTGAAGGCAGCAGGTTTTGTCGCAGTTGGTTTTACATCCTGTTTCAGGTTGAACGTCACTGGGTCACGTGACGCATTGATCTATTGATTTTGTACATTTCGTATTGGTTAGCGGTGTTTTCAGTTGCCAAATATCGCTTTATAGACTTTTAATCAACGTTAGGAACCGGAAATAATAATAATTATGATGAATTATTAGTTAAATAATTGTTAAATGATTAGGTCTTTATTATGTATTATATTACTAGGATTTAGTTTGATATCACAACTGCTACAGTGTTCTACGAGCCCTTCTTTTGTTTCCCTTCTGTTTTATGACATGATTTTTTAATGATCTTTGCCTCGAGATTTTTATTTTTTATNAGCCGGTGGGAGGGCTGTGCTGCACCGCATTAAGCTGGAATGTGATTCTGATATTACACTCAACATCACAAGTGTTTCTAGTCCAGTTTATCACCACAGCAAACGATAACCTCAATATTAACCCCTTGAACCTTAGACGGCCCTGCACCATGTATAAAAATGCAACTTTTGAAGTCTGCAAGTGTGACACATTCATCGAAGAGGCCACCTGTTAGTGATCTGATTAAAACGGATGCAGCATTTGTTTTAGCAGAGTTGTAGTTGAGAAATTTCAGCACAGGTTCAGTAACAGCGCTGTGTACCCCCCAGCTGAAACCAGAAGTTTACATACACTTAATAAAAAGACACTCAGTGTCTGACATTAAATCAGACTAAACTTTTCCTGTTTTAGGTCAGTTAGGATTACCAACATTATTTCTATTTGCTACACAGTGTATGTAAACTGAACATGCATGTACACTCTAAAAAGTAACTCAAGGGACCCATTCCCACCACATAGTTATGTGCATTGTTGCAAGAAAATAAAACTAATTTACTGATTTATATTCAGTGTTTAAGTTGCAAACATAATATTTATGAATTGGGTTAAACACAATAATGTTAGAGATTGTTTAATATTGTTACTTAAACACAAATATCTGCACTGATCTCAATCATTGATCATTGATGTACATGCTTGATTTAAAAACTGGACTCAATTTGAAGTTCAAAATAATAATAATAATAAAAATAATAATAATAGTAATAGTTGATCAGATTTATATAGCGCTTTTCTAGACACTCAAAGTCGCTTTACACTGTCAATTATTCATTCACACATTCATTCCGGTGGTGGTAGCTATGGTTGTAGCCACAGCTGCCCCGGGGCAGACTGACAGAGGCATGGCTGCCATTCTGCCCCTCCGGCCACCGCCTTAAACAATCCATTCACGCACCAGGCAGGTGGGTGAAGTGTCTTTCCCAAGGACACAACCACCATGACACCGGTTACAAGGCAGAATCGAACTGCCGACCTTCCGATCATTGACCGACTCGCTCTACCACCGGAGCCACATCTGCCCCTAAAGAAACTGGCTTAATAACTTCAATTTTTCATTCCTGGGGGGGGTTTGGTTCCTTCCCACCATTGCCAGCCACTTACTCAAAGGAAGTCCAGATTTGTAAGGTCTATACCGTACTTCGTTAAGCGTTGCGTGATAACATGTTGTAAACTGCGCTATACAAATAAACTTGAATTGAATTTTTCTTCACCTTGACTTTAGGATTTCAAGCTCCCTCCCCTTTCTTAACATGTCTGGACAATTTTAAACAGTTAAAACTGCCAAATAAAAATACCTAATTCCCGTAAGTCAACATAGTTTGTCGTTTGAACATAATTTCATTAGAAGTTTCCTGAACTCAGATAGACTGATGCAAACATTGTTTTGTAGAGCGCACGCACGCACACTAGACTGCATGTTGCACACTTGTTCAAATGAACATTAATCTCCAAAAAATCCACGCCCGCTCGCTGTTATTAAACCGCTGCCTTCCTCAAAGGCAAACACAGCAGGTAGCCCGAGATCTAATTAGCTAGTTAGTCTTTGGTTGACTGAGTAAAGACCCCATCCAAAATAAATATGAGATCTGGGTTCATGACATTATTGCGCTGATAAAGGGGAAGCGTTTGTAGCCGTGAACAGCAGCAGAGGGCATTGTGTTGATGAATGTCTGCTAAATACAGCAGCTTCTGTTCAAAGGTATCCGACACAAACCGAAACAAAGAGGCAGCAGAGAAGAACGACTGGAATCAAACAGATTCAATCAAACTACTTGAACTTATTTACTGGGGTCACTGTGTTTGTTTTCACATCACCAGTCTGCTAATCCTTCTTGAAGGCAAAAAAAAACAAAAAACCTCAGAGTGAGACGTCAAAATATTCAGACACACAGCATGTGGTGAATATTCAGAAGGGAGATACGTTTTTTACACCAGCAGAAACTGTGACTATAAATAACCATGTGGCTAATACAGCTGTTTATCAATGTCAACGGAAGATTGTCAGATACTTTCAGAAATCTGGTATTTCAAAATTCTAACTTTGCTGCAGGAGCTTGGATCGTTACCTGCTGAAAGATGGATGAAAGAGCAGCTCATGTGTGTGTTTCTAATGTTGACATGCCGAACTAAGATGCCAATCAGCCGTACGAGCGCTGATGCGTGTGTTTTGAAGTGTTGTCGTTAGTAAGTGGTAGCCTGGGAGCTCGTTCTTCAGTTTCATTTCAAGAGTTTTCCACTCGGACTTTCGCCTGCCGGCCCGATTACAACTGTTTATCAGAAACGAAGCAGGTTTGATTCAATCGAGATGCTTTCATAGTTTGATTGGTTGTTGGTCGGTCCAGTTCCAGAGGCGTTTTGCTCTGTTTGCCTGTTGATGTTTGGAAATTGAAAATGAGCTGAGACATTCCAGTCTAAGGGCGGCTGTGGTTTAGGTGGTAGAGCGGGTTGTCCTCCAATCCCTGGTCCCTCCACAGTGGAAGCGTCCTTGGGCAAGACACTGAACCTGAAGTTGCTCCCAATGGCAGGCAGCACCTTGCATGGCAGCTCTGTCGCGATTGGTGTGTGAATGAATGAGTGTGTGAATGGGTGAAGTTTCTGTGAGCAATATAATCGTTTCATGTCAGATGTTCAAGCTGATCCTTCACCTCTTGAACCTCATGAAACAACGAACAGCTCCCTGATTCAGAGGTATAAATAAATAAATAAATAAATAAATGTTTTTTTTTTTTTTTTTTCATCTTTAGTCATCTGAGAGATCATACTTACCGGCATCATCTCCTGTTTTGTGCCTGAGCTATCTGCCTTCAAACTCGGCATCAGTCAGGAAAAATTGTTGCCATAAATTTTACTTATTGCAATAAAATGGAAATAGAGTCATATTTGTCATTTGCGCCTCTGTCTTTCTCTCCCTCGCTCTCCGGAGAATGTTTCCTGCGTGAGGTTAAGCAAGCATATCCATGATTAACTGGGATTTTGACTAAACAGTCCTCTGAGCGTCTCTCAGTCATTATGCCTAAATATGACAGAGTGTTAACACTCAGAGAGATTTTAACATTCATGAGGGAAAAACAAAGAAACTGGAGCCACAAAGTGTGAGAAGAACAGAGATATGACTGAACACTAATGAAGATGTATGTTGCCAATACGCATCAGTCTGTGTGTGTGTGCTCTGGGAGAACGGACTTCATTGAGATCTAAATTGCCTCGAAAATAGCTTGATAAATGCAATTAGGGGGAGAAAAAAAATAATAAATTACACTTGTCAGTTACAATTTATTCAACCGGTAAAACCTCTATTGTTCCATCATCCATGTCATGTCTGTGAATCTATCTGCCGTTACAACATCCTACTGATTCATAAATTACCACAGCCGGACTTTTTTCTTCACCACCTTGCCGAGCTGCTACAGTTTGAAATGAATTATACCAGCGATTACGAGCAAAATGCGAGTCCACAGGTTTTTTTCTTTATTATTTGTAATGTATAATAAAGCATATTTCTGTGTTTTCTGTTCCACACTTTTGTCCCGTCCCTGCTGTCTGTCTGTCACTACAATCTGGGAACAAGAGAGATCCTCAGACTTCTGACCTTTGTGTGAAGAAGAGCCTGGGGCCAGTCTCGACTCTTTGACTCACTGCGACAAAGTCAAAATTAAACTGAAACATTGCCAAACATGTTGACCCACATTTGACAGAATACAAAGTCAGTAAAGTCATGTGGAAACTACATGGGCACCAATGTCCTGAGCGGGCTGTTTTCAACATGTCATAGCATTCCTGTTCTCAATAAAAGCCAAAGAACTCGAGATTTGGTGACGTAAAAAATGAGTTGTTTTTAAAAAAAAAAGATGTTCTCCAACAGAATCTGTACGATGAGCCTTAAAAACAAGTGTCGTCTTGTGAAAATCGACAGTCTCCTTAGATTCATCAAGAGCCACAGACCTCCATCAGCTGTAGGAGTTATGACTTTTGTGCTACGTAGAACATAATGTGACATTAAACAGCAACGAAACCTGCAGACAGAGGAGCTTGCGGTGGATTGATGGGTCATGAAGCACCAGACGCTGACAGCAAACCAATGATTGTTGCCTTCTGATAACCAACCTTGATTTCTTCTTATCATTCTCTACTGATGCACACTGATTCAGGGATTGTTTTCATTGCATCAAACTGCATGCAGCAATAACAAGCTGATTCAGTGAATTTCATTTTCCAAAATGAACACAACACAGGGCTCATTTCATCACAATGTCACGTATCCATAGAGACATTATACTTCCTGTGTCTTGTACAAGTTAACATCAGGTGACACAAGAGTTTTAATGTGACACTATAACTCAAAAAAAGTGACACAAAATCCATCCAGCCATTATCTATACACCGCTTAATCCTCACT